GGGGGCCGCAATTTGCCTGGATCAGACAATGTTATGGTGCCGATGTATCCACACTTACGCCCGAAGCTGTGCGCTATAGCAAGCGGGCTAGGCCGCGGTGAAGCATTCCGTCTTGCAAAGCTCACTTGTCATCTTCTCCGACACAGTTCAGCCCATGTGCTGAGCTCAGGAGGATGGGTGGGAGTGGACGTACTGATGAAGATGCTCACTGATGCCGGCTGCGATCGCCCGTGGGTCCGGTTTACGCACGCGGTCGCGACGCTTTCACCGCATGGAGTGCAGATGCTGGGCGTAGAGATAGATGCGGCTCACGAAGGCCCCACTTCCCGTCCAATGGACTGGGACTCGAGCTTCTACGAGATCACGAAGGAAGGGTTTGGAGCCTCCGAAATCGACGGAGACACTGACTCGTCCCAGGGAAGTGATGTGGAGAGGTTATATATATATATAACTCCGACAACACGACCTCTCCTGATCAGGGCCGTGCATGGCGATTCGTTAAGAATCGTGAGCCCATACCGCCCATACCGCAGAAACGTCAGATACGATCCTGGCGTGAGCGAGACGCACGGTGCACTACCGATTACTGACGCTGACGGACGAAACAGTCAGGCCGGGAGGTTTGCCCCGATCTATGACGTGACGACGGGCACCCGACAGTATGGCACTGTACCATACACGGTGGCAATGTCCCCACACGCGCACGAGATCCATGATCTTGACGCGCTGACGCCCAGGGAAATACAGGCACCGTATAGCTTCGCGGAAGCCGCACAGCTAATTGAAAGAGACGAACGACGCGTCCGTCAGGAAAGCGGCGATCGATTCCCGACCTTCTTTCATCAGGATGGGGTTTCTAAAGATTTCCCAGGTCGGACTAAGCGACTGGTATTTGACGTACATTTGAAGGATTTAAACGGCCAAAGCGTCGCCACCATGAGTGCAAGACACCCAGAGGCGCATCAGCATTGGATTCTGCCGACGGGCCAAATATTTACGGACAATGTCCTGTTGCGGGACACCATTTGGCAGATATTCACTTTTTCCGAATCACCTGACAACAAGCTGTCATGGCGAGTCACCTATGACAGACGGCTAACAATGGTTCAAGTCGTCGCCCGCGCCAAGACTGGGTGCATCGACGTGCTGGAATCAAGGCAGCAGATCCGAGCAGGACACAATGCTAGTCCTTCCGACGCAGAGCTCGCTGCTGAAGGTCAGCAAGCACCAGGCTGGGAAGACGATCTATGCCTAGGGTGTCACATGGGGCACAAGTCGAGGTACGGCTTGATAGGATGTGTCGCTTGCCGTGAAGGGATTGTATACGAGGCATCAATGATATCTGGAGACAAGATGAGACCAGCGATTGACTGGAGAGCCGCAGGGTTCCACAGAGACCGAGGGAATCCAGGCCCGTACCATGCACGTAATGACGGCAGGACAATGTCCAGGGCAGCAGTTATTGAGAATCTTGATCGCACACAGGCACGATACCGCGAGGGATGGAGACAGGATGCCTACAACGGGACCGTCACGCGATACTACGCCGCAATGGCGGGCAAGACAGCAACTCTGTCCGCCGAAAGAGCGGTGTTCGCATGGATACCAGCATCGCCACATGACAAACGCCCTGCCCATGGCAACAAGGCGCGAGAGATCAAGGCGCGCAAGCTGGCAAATCGATGGATGTCATATCAGGTATACAATCGATGCCCGCCAGCTGGACAATCTGCTATCTGCCCGCCATGGAAGTGGTGGGCATACCTGACCCGGCGCATAGACCAGACGGACCATGGTACAGACATGGGAATACGGAACATCACTGACTGGGACACAATGGACCCTGATGCCATGGGTTTCACAGAGCCTTCCGGAGGATGGCGCCAATGGTGTCGTCAGAACGAAGATCATTTACCGGAGCGCCTCGACAGTCTCTTGGATGTGATTGAAGATGAAATCGAGGGTTCTGGAGACCAAGAGAAGATTTGGCCGCCCCAGAAGATGGCGGAAACAGGGCTGTTCGCCGTCGAGACGCGCGTCCACCCCGGGTTCCCTCCGTTAGCGTAAGACTCGGTCCGCAGATGCGCCGATGGCGTTCAGGGGACGCGCAATGCGCAGGCGAACGGGATCACGCACACCCGGCAGGGGCCAGAGCACAGCCCAGGACGACGTGACAAGCAGGGTCAATCAGTACCGTATCAGACAGGCAGCCTATGAGCTGGTGGCGTTCTTCGACACGTTTAACGTCTCCCCCACACCACAAGGCGGACACTTGGGCGTCATGTGAAGTACAGCTATACGCACTGTGGAGTGATCCGCCGCAGCTCTGTGCTTATGACCCAGACCTAGGTGATGCAAGTGAAACATGGCTGGCTGATCAAATATACAGGGCCACCATCGAAGTCTCGAAGGATTTCCAATGGACACTGGTTGACAGGGATCACGCGAGTGATGATGCCAAACGCGTTCATCACGAAGAGGTGGACAGGTTCCGTGAGACATTCTCTCGGGAGTTTCGCATCGCGCGCTCGTCGAGATAGTTCACAAGGACATATATAAATCGGCAGGACCTGCCGAACATCGCAGATGACGCACCTGCCATCGAGGCTTGCATGCAATACGTGCTGCAGTCTCAGTCAGACGCACAATTCCGAGGTCAACAGTTCACAGTCGACTCACCCAGGCATTCGGCGACTGAGAAGTGGGCGCTGCACGTGTATGAAGCTGCTGTCTACGCACTTCAGACGTGGGAACAGCACAGAGTGCCACCGCCCCATGACTCGGATGACGAGCGTCGCCCCTCACGCGTGCCAATGGCACGAGGGGCTCGGACTCGCCAGCCCGCGGCGACCACCGCACGGGCTGCGCAGTCAATCAGCAGCAAGCGGTCGCATAGTCGTTCGGCGTCACCATCCGCAAGGGTGGCGGCGAAACAAGCGGCTGCCTTTCCGCGGAACGAGGGTGGCAGGGGCAGTGCGTCTAGCGGCGCCGCTCCACCCCCTCCGGATGCCACAGGCAAGGGCAAGGGCGGGAAACGACCAAGAGAGCCATGGAGTGATCGCACGGCCTCACCGCTCGCTGTCGGCCAGTGCCTGTGCAGGGACTTCCGCCAAACTGAGTCTGGCGGCGCGGCGTCGTCGTCCTCCCAGCAGCTTCCCGAAGAACAGCGCCGCCCCTGGGCCAGGGGGCAAAGCCGAACCCCAACTGACAGCGCCTGGAGTGCGTGGAGGGGTACCCACAGCCGGGGCTGGAGCAAAGGTCCGGGACAAGACCGCGGGAAGGGCGACCGCAGCAACTGGTCCGATCGCCGCAACGATGACCGGGACCAGTGGCGCCGCGACAGTGGATGGCGCTGGTGAGCAACAGACGCCTAACGCCAATGGCGTTTTGGAGGCTGCGCCGGCGCATGCGCACCCAGCTTATCGCCAAAGATTGCGACAGCATATGAGAGGGCTCGAGGCTGTGGGAGCTTCGCCCCTCCATCAATACTTACTATCACTGGCCAATGGCCGTGTGATCAATGCCACTTGACCTGCGGGCTGCTAGTGGCTGTGACAGCCTCGCGCCCGCGCGCGCTGTAATTCGACGCCGTCGGGAACGAAGAGTCCCGATGGTAGAACGCGGCCCTGGCCGGCGCTGCAGCCGGGCCGCCGCGGGGGGAGTCGTTGCCATGCGCTCCCTGCCGCCGTCGATGTATATATAACCACACGCGCAGACACATGTTTGGCTGTCTGCAGCTACTTGTGGTTCGGAGAGGAAAAAGGCCCGCGCCCGCCCCCGCGCGCGCGTGCTCATACTGTATAATTTCTTCACCCACAGCTTACCGGGATACGCATATCTTTTTACATTCCACGATGTCCATTGACCCGCTAGCTGGACCCCAACAGTGAGAACTACCTTACTTGACGATGTTGGCCTGGTTGGGCCTAAGTTTGGTAAAGATGCGGTGGGTTCCCCTGGAAGGCTTCCGCGCGGGATGATCTCCTCCCGTCACCTATTAGGCTTTGCGGCCATCTGATCACGGTTATAGTATGAGCATTAGGATTATTATTCGTATTAGTATTGGTATTCACATTACTCTTATTATTAACATTATTATTTTTTATAATTATTACGTTTGCGTTGTAACCGTCTGGCATCCAGGATGAAGAGCCCGTTGGCCCCACTTTTCCTTTAGTTGGTTGCAACGCACGACCCAATGCAGTGGTCCGTTGCCTTGCATTGCCAGTCGTCGGCCGCAATGCTGATGGATCGCCTTTTGACGCCATAAAAAAAAGTGACCCTCTCCGCGGTGGGCGACACTAAAAATGGGCCAATTTCCCGACGCGAATTTGGCCGCAGTAAAACGTTTTGCAAGACGGTTCTTTGTACATGGTTGAACAGGTAGCATGTGCGTGCAACATTGCATCATTGAGCAATCTCCGCGACACTATTGCCATCCAAGGTCTCTTGCATGAGGTTGTTTCAAGCACTGCACTTCCTGTCATGTCTACTCCGTTCTGGCCGGCCTCCGGGGGGTTCGACAATTCTGGTGTCAGTGCGTCCCACAGACTTCACAGTTATATACTGTTTTACCTAGTCGACCCAGGACACCGTAAATTTTGAGACGGTCCGTCAGCCCAAGCGCAAACACATTTATATACATAACAAACACGCAAACACATTGAAACTGGGATTGGATAGTTTGGTCGTCCTTGAGACTTGACCTGGCCGTCCTGGAGGGTGGTATAAGGCGCCGTCCCCGCTCAGCGTGATAGATCACCGGCGTGGCCCCCTCGATGTAGCATTGAGTGCGGCACTTGTGCAACCTGGCAAGCTCGCGGTTGCAATGAGACCGTCAGGTGTGGGCAGAGGTGTTCTTCGTACAAGGTGTCCTCAGGATTGCTTTCCAGGGGCGCCCACACGGCCCTGGGAACACCCTTCACGAGGCCCAGTCGCCCCAAGGGTTTCGACTTGGCACGAAAGTTATGGACACCTTCAGCAACTTCCGCTCTTCCGAGGTTCGGCCAGAAGGGCAGGGCGCTGAATCAGGGCATCGAGAAGAGGGGCATGCTACGGGACTGGCTGACGAAAACGCGTCGCGCAACCTCTGCGGACAAGAACAAGCAGGATAGCTCCGCGTGGGAGAGGGAGTTCTCGATTTCGGTGCTCACCGAGGAGGACTTCGACCACGCCTTCGGCGCGACACAATGGCGGAGGTGGTCAACGACAATAGTCGTCGTGTAAACATGATTTCGCATGCCCGCGCGGATTTGTTGTCGACGCTGGGCCCCGGTGCCCCCCCCTATCGAGCCCCGCGGGCCAGAGAGGGGGTTCAAGTGCCGATCGGAGAGATCCGCGCGGGCCTCCGAGAGTTTACGTTTGTGCCGATGTTCTTTCTTGCAGGCTGGGTTTCAGCATCAGGAAGATCGATTTCAGTGACTCCAGGTACCAGCTGGAGACCCTGAACGGTGGAGCCGCGCACGGCCTGTGCAACAGGAAACTGCACAAGAGGAAGTGCACCTACGTCGATGTTTCGGGGAACAGGCTTACCGACATCTCCTGCCTGAGTCGGGACCACACATGCAGGGCGCAGGAGAACGACCATCACGGAGAGTCTCCCCATTGCGGAGGGTGCGAGAAGCTCATCACGCTGCAGGCGCGAAGAAACCTGATCACGGACCCTGTCTTAGATTTGCCCAAGTTGGTCCACCTGAACCTCGCCCACAACGAGCTGCGGAACATACCCCCGCTGGAAAGGCTGCCCATGCTCGAAGTGTTGGTCCTGTCGTACAACCACCTGTCAGGTCCTATGGACACCCTGAAGGTGGTCTACAACGAGGGCTCCACCTCGGGCGGCAAGCGGATCACGCGGCTGGAGTTGGACCACAACGACTACGACTACACCCCGTCGCAATTCCAGAAGGCACTCGATGTCCTGCAGACGCTCCAGAACCTGGAGGCGCTGAAGTTCACTAGGAACCCTTTTGTGGCGTGCTTCAGGCAGTACCAGATCTACGTGGTTGAGAAGTTGGGCAAGCTTCGCTCGCTGGACGGAGAGCCGATCTCGAACGAGGTCCACAGACTTGTGGAGAGCATAGGGGGGAAGCTCGGCCCTCTGGCCGCCTACGACGAGGAGTTCCTCCAGAAGAAGGCAGAGCGCGACAAGGAGGCACAGAGCCTGAAGTGGGAGCCGCGCCCGCGGATGGCCAACATTCTCAAGGAGACTGAGAAGGCGTACGAGGTCCTCCAGCAGCTGAAGAAGTATGGACTGGACGACGACCGCGACCGCTCCTCGTACAGTGATCTGCACGAGGGCCTCCACAATCTCCTCTCGGAGGCGGAGAAGCTCCACTATCGTGAAGGCCTCACGGCTCGTGCCGCCGTCCCTGAATGGGGGAGCCCAGGGCGTTTGGGAGGCAGGGACTCCAAGGGGAGAGCTTTACCCAGGGAGGGGTGCTCTCCCACGGGGGCCGGGGGTCACAACCCCCCGGGGACCCTTTTCTTACCAGTTTGAAACATATCCCTATCCCTATGTTTGATATCATCTTACCTCGATGCCGATCTTGAGGATTCCCTCAGTTTCTGAGGGCCTGTCCCTACGACTGTCCTCGCTTTTTGCTCGCCCATCTTAGGGATAGGGATACGTTCGAGGCTGGTTATTTTCCCCCCACCCTCCCCTGGACCCCCCAAATCCGAGGCCCAGCCCCCGCCCTCGAGAATTTGGAACTACAGCCAACACGCATGGTAAGGATGGGCAACCTGCCCAAGTGTACCCTTGCCTTGGCATCGCTCGGACGTGTGCATTTTTCCTTCGGCGAGGACCATCGAGGAGCATCCTTGATCATTTGGCGAAACAACCACGCACGAAACCGAACAAAAACACAGGGAATGGACGTCCGAGCGATGGCCAGGGATGGGCAACCTGCCCAAGTGCACCCTTGCATCATTGCCTCCTCGGTCCATCCTTCGCCGCTCTCGCTGGCCGCGCCACGCTCGGAAAGCCTCGAAGTGGGCGTCCAAGGCCCCTGCATCCTTATCGCGCATCCTTACTATACTGGTTGACCGTGTCTTGCCCCATTGATGTTCAGGCCGTCTCTGGATTCGGGGGCGGTGCACCTTGTGCTTTCATCTGCCCGTGTCATGATTTGGTTTCGAGGCCCTGGTGGTGTTGCGAGCGGGCCTCGTTGGAGTTGGACCGAATTTGGCGTGGGACAGAATGGCCGCCGCTGCACGCACTGCTCCTCCAAAGCCACGCAACAGGGGATCAATGTCAGCTTCCTCTAGCTTAAATCACGGACCAGGCGAGGGAATTCTCGAAAGTTCTCAACACGCGTAAACATATCGGAGATGTGTGTGCCAGAGACGATTCTTAAGTTTTTTTCCTCCGTGTCCGTATCGAAATTATTAGTGACACGATAATTCATAGAGCTTCGTCTGTGTTTTCTTCCTTTTGGGTCGAGAGACAGTCTTCAACGAGGCGCCGCCGTGGGATCCGGTGACCTCGTCGCCGCAGCAGGTCGCACGGCCGCAGTGGCAGAGGGCTCCCACCTGGGGAGGGGGCAGAGACGTAGTCGGTGAGCGCACGGCGCGGAGCTCATCGAACGTGTCACGCATGCTCACAGCCAGGAGTGGCTGCGCGGTCTGCGCGGCGCCACTGCAGGCGTGCTGCACGCGAGGGTGCAAATCGAGACGTATTTCTTCAGCTGAGCTCCAACTTGCTGTCAAGGTGGCTGGGACCTCCGCTTTCGTTGGTACCCCGCCCCCCCGCGGCCCCCAAGCCCCCTGGCGGGGAAGGGATCGAAGGGAAGGGGCTTCCCTTCGACTCGATTGCGACGTTGCTCGATATCTCTTTGGCTGGGATGTTTGACGAGGAGGGCCCACGGACAGGGACAGGGGGGAGCGGTGACGGCGACAAGGACGACGACGACCACACAAACGGAACAGCCTCTCACTCACGCCAACAGGGTCGGTGGACTTCCACATGCACAGGCACTTCTACAAGACGGAGGAGGACAAGCGCCCCATCAACAAATTCACTCTCGAGGACATCCGGAAGTACTTTTGGGACGACGTTGTCAAGGACGAAGTCCTGAAGGGTCCAGCAGAAGTGGACCCGGACATGTTGGACAAGCACAACGAAGCGGTGGAGGAGGCGAAGAAAGAGATGCAGGATAGGTTTTTCCTTCGCCTGGACGCGCTCATGGCCCAGTACGAGGCAGCCCTCCGGGGGGGGGGGGGGGGGCGGTCTCCCCGGGGGTCCGCGGGGAGGTCTCTGGGGGTCCCCCCCCGCGCAGGCGTTGCCACCAGTTGCGCCTCAGTCAGCGTTGGTATGCCAACTGGCGCTCCTGAGGCGTGGGAGCTGCCTCCCCACAGAGAGGGGCCCGCCAGGCAGAGGTCTGCAGAGTCCCCCGGAGGGCTCATGAGGCATCCGCAGGCAGGAAGAGGCCAGAGGCGTCCAGGGGCCGCAGCCCTCGATCCTCGGACCCCCGACCCCTCTTACAATTCTTCCTCCTCTTACCTCTTCCCTCCTCCGCCTCCTCCTCCTCCTCTTCCTCCTGCTCCCCCCCCCCCCTCCTCCTCCTCCTCCTCCTCCTCCTCCTCCTCCTCCTCCTCCTCCTCCTCCTCCTCCTCCTCCTCCTCCTCCTCCTCATCCTCCTCCTCCTCCTCCTTCTGCTCCTCGTCGTCCTCCTCCCACCTTCCCACCCTCCCTCCCTCTCTCTCCTTCCTCCCTCCCTCCCTCTCCTCCTGCCTCCCCCCCGAGGCGATCCGCAGGGACATCTTCGCCGTCCTGGGCCACCTGACCTGCCTGCCCGAGTTTGGCTTCGGCGAGATGTGCCTCATGTACATTGCGAAAAAGGTGCCCTTGGCATCGCTCGGACGTGTGCATTTTTCCTTCGGCGAGGACAATCGAGGAGCATCCTTGATCATTTGGCGAAAAAAACACGCACGACACCGAAAAAAACACAGGGAAGGGACGTCCGAGCGATGGCGCGTGCCTGCTCACAAGAGCGGTCACGACCGCCGTCGACGACGACGACGAGGCTGCGAGGAGGGTCCCCGGAGGCCTGGAGTGGTCGCTGGAGGCCAAGGACGAGCATCAACCGTGCAAAAGCACCACCCTCGATCCCCGATGGCGACGGCGACGATGACGGCATGGGGAGGAAGGTGCCGACGGGCGACGAGTACCGGCGCCTCTTCAGAGAGACGGTGGCGACCGTGCTCATCCCGCACATGAGGGACAATTTGATGAAGGACGGCGGCCGCTCCCATGCTTCTTCGCGCCGATGCCACTCGCCGGGACGAGGGAGGTCCCGTGCGGACATTTTCTTGACGTTGCCAGACATGCACAGGCTAGAACATCATGGGGTCGTGTTTGTTTGTTCAGCCTCTGGATACTGTTTTCGAGCACTCGGGTTGTCATACTCAGCTGTGAGAATCCGTTAACGGAAAGGGGGTTTGCGAGCCGTTTGTTGTGTTTCTCATGTTTGGGTGTTTCTTTTTTCAACAGAAATCAGATCGTTTGTTTTAGTGCACTGCATGACGACGACGACGACTCAGGAGGGCAGACATGGGGACGGGAACCGTGGGGACGAATGCATACAGCTGTTCGAGTCGCAGGGTTTGCTATCGGTATCGCAGGGGACCTTGTGCATTTGGGACAAATGCCGCCTGCCCAGCAGCGCCGCTGTCGGTCTTGGACAACGTATGCTGTTGGGCATCGCTCTAATTCGTTCTGTGCCCTCCAGGCCTCCCGAAACGACCCGCGAGGGGGGAGGCTGGACCAGGAGCAGGAGGACGACCAGTCTGAGGACGCGCGAGCAGTCTTGGGAGCCACCCTTAAACCGGCTGTAGTCCTGTCGGCCGCCACAAGATTGCAGAGGTTTACAGGGGCCTCCATGGATCGAAGAAATTGGTCGTGCTGATCTCCTGGATCGGCATTGGACCCCTTCGAGCGCCGCCCCAGGCGCACTCCACGCGCAGGGGCGGGGGGTCCAGCGCCGATACCAGAAATCCGCGCAGAAACCAGCCCATCCAGCCCATCCAGAAACGATGCCCATGAGCGCTGATAGGGAGAGAGAGGAAGAGACACGCATAGTCAAACAGCGGGAGAGGCCAGCCTGGACGGCGTGTTGGGGCCATCTCAGGAGGAGGAGGAGGAGGAGGAGGAGGAGAGGAGGAGGAGGAGGGAGGAGGAGGCAAGATGAGCACACGACGAGGAGAAGGAGGACGATGATGAGGAGGACGAGGAATAATAGGGTGAGTAGGAGGAGGAGAGGAGGAGGAGGAGGAGAGGATGAGGAGGAGGAGGAGGAGGAGGAGGAGGGAGGAGGAGGAGGAGGAGGAGGAGGAGGAGAGGAGAGGAGGAGGAGGAGGAGGGAGGAGGAGGAGGAGGAGGAGGAGGAGCAGGAGGAGGAGCAGGAGGAGGAGGAGGAGGAGGAGGAGGAGGAGAGGTCGGAGGAGGAGGAGGAGGAAGAGGACGAGGGGAATGATGAGAACGAGGAGGAGGAGCAGGAGGATGAGGAGTAGGATGGATGAGATCGATCAAAGACGGGGGGAGCTTCAATTACTTTCTCCCTTCGGGAGCCCAAGCAATCGCCTCTATGACCCATCTTGGAGCGCTCTTAGAGCGCTCTTGGGCGTTCTTGGGGCCGTCTTGGTGCTGTCTATGGCCTCTCTTGGTGCCCTCTCGGGCCTCTCTTGGGGCCTTCTTGGGCCATCTTGGAGCCAGCTTGAGGCCTGGGAAGGCCATCGAAAGTAACAAGGCGAGAAGGACACATTCACTGATGTTCCATCGGTTTTTAAAGAATGTTGGCCTCTTGACGGCCTCCTAGGGAGGCTCCGTGGCCATCTTGAGCTTTCTTGGATCGGTCTTGGGGCCTCTTGGGTTCTCTTGGGGCATCTTGTGAGCCATCCTCAGCCAGCTTTGACTATCTTGAGTCATCTTGGATGTCATCCTGTTGGGGCGCTCGTGAGACCCTCTGGGGGCCTCTTGGGAGCCCTGGAGGGCCTCTTTGGGCAATCTTGGAGGCTGTCGGTCAAAAGAGGAGGGGGGTCCTCGATGTGCGTTTCCCCCCTCGGGGGGCAATATCCTCGTCAGGGGTATCAGAAATTGGCTCTCCCACTGGCCGAAAAAGGAGCCTCCGACACCTCGCGAAACCTCCCAAAAAACCTAAGGGAGGGGAGGGGGAGGGTTCCCCTCCCCGAAGGGACGAGGGGTTGTGGAAAAAGAAACCACCCTTAGACCACCTGTCGCCCGGAGGGCTGGTGGGATTCTATGCTTGAGTTTTCTTTGTCTCTTCCAGGTGTCCTCCGCGGGGGCCTCCGGGAACCTCACGAGACCTCCGCGCATCGCTCCGAATTCGTCTTGATCGCCGCCTTCCGGTCTGGTGCCCGACCCGTCTCGGGGCTTTTTGCTCCGCCTGTCCTGGTCGCCTGCCCCCGCCGACCCAGCTGCCTGTGGCGCGAGGTCTCTCCGCCGACGCGGGCGTCGGTGTGCGGGTGTGCCATCCTCTGCTCCTCCAACTTGGGGCGATTTCGCACGGCTCTTGCTGACACCTGAGGTTGCGCGCACCACGCTTGAAGTGCTACATGCTCTATGCGCGGTGCCCCTCTTCTCCCTGCTCCTCGGTAATCTTCTTCCCTTCCTCACAATAAGGCTTGGTGCGCAATTAGCTTTGCCGCGCCACGGCGCTCGCTGCCTAACACTTCATGTTTCCTGTCCGACGTCGCCGTTGACAGAAGTGTGTGTGTGTGTGCTCCCTGTGCTCCACCCCTCTCCCTGCCCAGCTTAGCGTTCTCGTTTTGCCTGCCCGCCTCCACCTGCCGCGGACCGCCAGGCTTCTGCTTCCAAGCGGTTTGCTGAAATCCGTCTTCGGGGGGGCTTTCGGTTTTGATCTTACATCCGCAAAGGTGGTAAGTCGTCTTGCAGCATCTCCTTGTTTCGAACATGTTGGGCTGCTTACTATAACACATCGCCGCGCAGGAGCAACAGTGTGTGTGTGTGTGTGCGTGTGCGTGTGCGTGTGCGTGTGCGTGTGCGTGTGTGTGTGTGTGTGTGTGTGTGTGTGTGCGTGGCCGAGACTTTCAGCTTCTTTAACGCTCCCATGCAAAACGGTATATTCACGTTGAGCGCGTGTCACTTTCGCAGCACGTGCACCGCAGGCTGACGTCATCTGCGCGCTGAATGGAACAGGGCGTGTGTCCAGCTTCGCACACGTCGCCACACAAGGTGGTAAATTTAGGAATGAGGCCTGGCCACCACCGCCTCGGAACAAAGCAAGTTTTTGTTTCGGTGCATGTGCGCGCACCACCCAGGAGGTACAGGAGGGACGTAGGGGGTAGGATGGACGGGGGACGGCGGAGGGCAAACCATGTAGGGTCATGTGAGGAAGTGATGACGAGTAGGAGGAGGATCTTCGGAGAGGGAGCAGGGAGGAGGGAGGAGGGAGAGAAAGAAGAAGGGGGAGAGGGAAGGAAAGAGGAGTGTAAGGAACATGCAGGACGGATGTTTTGGGCAGGGGTGGCTAGGATGGATGAGGGCAGGACAGAGGATGGATCAATGTCGTGAGGGTGCAGAATGACTGAGGACGGTTGACGGATGAGGGAATGACGGATGAAGGTTGGAGTGGGAAGGACGGAGGAGTGGTGAAGGGAACGGGGGCGGAACGATGTGACAGGTTGGGCGAGGGACAGGGTGACATGTATTGAGCATCGAAGATGTAAGAGGCTGGATCTAGAAGGAATGAACACCAAGGGGTCGCTTTAGGTGGAGCGAGGACGGAGGAGGGTCGAGTGGGAGAACGAAGGGGGAAGCGAGGGGGGATAGGGGGGGAGGTCGAGGAGGTCGGAGGGGGGAATAGGGGATCAGAGAGTTCTGGGGCTGGACGGAGGAGGGAGGGACAAATGAGGAAGCGACACAATGTTGAAGGGAGGAGACAGGATGGATTTATATGTGTGAGGAAAAGGCGGAGCGATGAGGAGGAAGGAAGGGGATGAAATGGAGGAGGAGAGAAGAGAGGGTCGTCGACGTAGATGCGCAGACGTCGGGCAGAAGGTAGGACAATGATTGTGCAGAGGAAGAGGTAGGAGGAGAAGGACGAGGGCGATCAGGTGTAAAAAGGAGGAGGCGCGTGGAGGAGGAGGAGGAGGAGATGGAGGAGGAGGAGGAGGATGAGGAGGAGGAGGAGGAGGAGAGGGAAAGGACAGCAGGAGTGGAGCAGGAGGAGGCGAAAGGTGGAAGGAGGGAGGAGGGAGGGAAGGAGCAGAAGGAGGTGGACGACGACGGACGGACGAGGAAACGGACGACGGGTGGGGGCGCGGAGGTGAGGAAGGGGGGAGAGGAAGGGGAATGGAGAGGGGAAGGTGGCCGGGCAGGAGGAGGTGGACAATCACACTTTTAAGCCTGCGGACGCAAGCACGCTGTCGCTGATCGAGCAACGGGAGGGGCGCTCCAAAGGCGACTCGGGGGGAGGAGGAGGAGGAGGAGGAGGAGGAGGAGGAGGAGGAGGAGGAGGAGGAGGAGGAGGAGGAGGAGGAGGAGGAGAAGGAGGAAGCGGAGGAGGAGGATGAGGACGAGGAGGAAGAGCAGGAGGAGGAGGAGGAGGAGGAGGAGGAGGAGGAGGAGGGCGGGTGAGCGGCGGCCGCAGTCAGAACGTGCAATCCAGAAGTGGGTGCTGAGAGAGCACGGCGAAGTGCCTGGCGTGCGCAGGGAGGTCCACAAGGCCTGAACGTAGAGCCAGAGCCAGTCACCGCCGACCAAACCACCACAACCCAAACCGAAGGCCCCGCTTTGCCCTCCATTTCCACTTGGGGGGGTCGGGGAACGTTGAAAACACACACAGATGAAGCCCGTATCCCCCCCCAACCAGAAAGTCGGGCGAAATTCGGGTCTTCGGGCTGGGTTGGGGTGTATAGGTAGGTAGTCACCAGGGAGACCCAGGGAAAGGTTGGAGCAACCAAGCAAAATCTCCGCACATGACGACGAGGAGGCCAGGTGAAGGCCAAAGCCAGGGGGCGAGAGGCCAGAACCACCGTGGCGCAGCGCGGGGGCAGCCCCGGAGGCTGCGGCCAGACGGCTGGCCGACCGCCGCAGCGCTCAGGAGGCACCGGCTGGAGGGGATGAGGGAGGAGAGGCGCGAGCAGCACAATCCCTAGGAGGGAAAGAAACACACAGACACAATTCATCGTCGACTCTCAGGAAAATATGGGAAAACATGGGAAGTGGGGGGGAAGACAAAGACCCAGAACATATGGGAAAATATGGTGAATCCTTTTATTTGTGTGTATTTATTTGTGTGTCCTGGGGCCCCTTCAAATCCAGAGGCCCACCTCAAAGCAGCGACCGCTCTGAGAGTTCAGGCCGTGCGATCAGGGCCCCCAGTGCAGGGCCAAGGGAGGGACGAGCAGCGAGTGAGCACAGAGGCGGCGAAACTCAGCTGTGGAACGGGGCGAGAAGCGCGCCAACGTCACAACATCACAGCCCCAGGTCCACGGTGGCCCACTAACCGCATGACCACGATCGTAAAGCATCCCCCTCTTTACCCCCTGTGTCATGATTATCAATGGGATACTTTCATTTTATAGGCTGGCGGAACTGCGAGGCCGACATTATTACCACCAGAGAACGAACCGTACACTCAATCACCCTAGCATGAGAACCCTGTGTTATCATCATCAGCAGCATTCTCTGTTATCATCATCACCCTCTCGTATACCTCCATTTTGGGACACTCCTCGCACGGTTCGTGGTCCCATGTGGTGCCCTAGTGCTATGCCTGTTTTATCGCAGGCTCCCGTAAACGAAAGAAGTTTGATCGCTGTTATCGCCGAACGCGCCCCAGCTGAACTTCTTTATCGCAACCATTGATTACCACCCTCAAATAGCAGCCATGCCACGGCGAGTAGAAAACCAGCAATAAGTCTTTAGTTTTACACATCGGTTTCGATAGGTCCGAATGTTTGGTTTCTCTTGAAAGCTCCTCTTCATCCTCCTCCTCTGGTAGGCGGGCCCCCGAAGAGTGGCCAGTGTATCATTATCATGATTTTCAGGATTCGTGCTCACCCAACTCCTTGAAGCAAGCTCCAGAGGAAGGCACCTCCGGATCAGCTTGGAGGCCACTCAAGTCCCATCCACTCAATTGAGCAACATATTTCCGGGAACACATCATTATCTTCCCCGGACGCCGACCTTTATTATCCCCACTGTGTGATCATCACCGGCACCGGGTCACCAAGCAGCCACCATTCCGAGAGCACAGTCCATTTGATCAGGGCCCCCTTTGTACACGGCCACGTGAGGGACGATCAGAAATTGAGCACGGGGGCGGCGAAAAGCTGACACAGCGTTGGTATGGGTGGACTTGAACCGCGCGAGTGTCACAACCGCGGGTCCGCAGTGGCCCACCTCCCAGCAGCCACGACTCTGAGAGCACAGGCCATGTGATCAGGGTCTCCTGGTACACCGCCAGGGGAGGAATGATCGGCAACAGAGCACCAGGGCGGCGAAAAACCGGATCGGCGCGGGAATGGGGCGTGGAGCGCGCGACCGTCACAACCCCAACGACCCCCGTGGCCCACCTCCAAGCGTGCACCGCTCTGAAGCACAGTCCAGGTGATCAGGGCCCACGTGCACACGGCCACGGGAGAGACGATTAGCAGTTGAGCAAGACAAGGTGAACAGGGGCCCCTTGGACACGGCCAGGGGAGGGGCGACCAGCAACCGAACACCAGGGCGGCGACAAGCCAGAGCAGCGTGGGAGTGGGACGCGAGGCGCGCTAACGACAATCCCAGGCCCACGGTATCCCACCTTCAAGCAGCCGCCGCTCTGAGAGCAGAGTCTTGTAATCCGCGACCCCCAGACCACGGCAAACGGAAGGACGATTAGCCACTGAGCACCAGGGCACAAACCAGGGGGCAAAAGGCCCAAGCCGCACGGAACAAACCAGGCATGTATGAGACAACATTGCGCAGGCCATGCCGGCGTGTGCAAAGCGACCCAGGTGCCAGATCCAGGTTCGAAGCGGACGCGACCAGGGTCCACGGGCGCCAGCTGTGGCCTTGCGCAGCCGCCCGTGCTCGTGCCGCGACAGCACGACGCCCTCTCGTTCGGCCCACACCACTACGTTGTGTCTTGTTGCCGCGAGTCCGTGGAGGAAGACCAAGCATTGGACAGCCGCCCGTTTCCCAGAGTCGAAGGTGACGCGCCGCCTGCCCTCGACTTGCGCCGCGTAGGAAGCGTGCCACCCTCTTTCGAAAGAGGACCCAGCCTCGCGCCAGAGCCGTCGGACGCACTCGTCGGGCGTCTCGCCGACGAAGGGTTCCCACCGGATCAGCCCACGAGGCAGTTTCTACAGCTTGTCGACGTCCCTGGCCAGGGTTCTCTTGAGTCGCCCCAGTCCTTCCCCGGGCGCGCCAGGGTTCTCGCGGTCGCTGACCGCAGAAGCCCGTCCGCGGCGGCCGCGGCAATCAGCTCCAGGGGCGAGACAGGGTCGGTGGCCGACACCAGGAGTGGGGTTTACAAAGGGATCAGCCGCCGAGTGTGGCCCCCGGGCTGTCGGGGGCACCTACGGTGGTGACTCCGAGCGAGGAGGCGTCGGGCGGGACGTCGGACGAGGCGTTTGGGGGGCTCCGGGGCGGTCCCCAGGCAGGGCGCTCGCGCCCGCCCAGCTCACCCGCGACATCATTGTCCTCGTCCCCCCAGCGAGGGCGCCGAGCAGGGCCAGCGCTGGCGGGGGCCGGGTCGCCGGCCGCCGTCGAGGCCTGGCTCCGGCGGAGGGTCGGCTGCCAGCAGTGGGTCCCAGGGCTGTTGTGGGCGTCGGTGGGAGGATTGCCATGAGACTCCCACGAAACTACCACCCCAGTTGGGGATACACCCCTCGAAACCCGAAGAGAATGAGCTATATCCCCATCTAGGGGGGTAAATCGGTCAGCGGGGCCCAGGCCACGCCGCTGGGGATGGGGATCGGTGAAACGATACTCATACCAGGTTGGGAAGCGGGAGGGGCGTCGGGTGCGGAGTCGGGGTTCCGGTCGCCGTGATTCTTGTTCGCTCTCCCGCGCCAGGGTGCCTTCCACAGGGTCGCCGCGTAACACGAGGAACGGCGCACATGGCGGCGCGGGTGCGGGCGATTTCTGGGCATCAAAGCATTTAGCAGCGTGTGCGTGGCTGTGTCCAGGCGGCCGGGCTCGCCTTTCCTAGTTTTCCCAGCTGGGACTCCACTGGCTGGAGCACCGTCGTTGCTTTCCAGGGGCGCTTTATCGGCCATTCGCCACAAGTGTGCGGATAGCGGCGGCGTTTGTGTCCTGGGAGGCGGTTGTGGTTGCAGTGCTTGCCCCCGCATCGTCATCGCCACCAGCTCCAGCCGCTTGTATGAAGCACCCGTAGTCCAGGGGGTCGTTCGCTCCCCCTTACGGCCCCCCCAGATTGACTCGACAGACGCAACGCATTGGAGGTTATCCGTGTTGCCGATCAGCCGTTTCCGGTTGATAAACACGAGAAGGCCAGTAGGACAGGGGAGGAAGAGGAGGAGGAGGAGGAGGAGGAAGAGAAGGAGGAGGAGGAGGAGGAGGAGGAGGAGGAGGAGGAGGAGGAGGAGGAGCAGCATCAACATGAGGAGGAACAACAGGAGGAGGCGAAGGAGGAGGCGGAAGCGTAGGAGGAGCAGGAGCAGGAACAGAAACAGCAGCAGGAACAGAAACGGGAGGAGGAAGAGGAGGAGGAGGAGGAGGCGGAGGCGGAGGCGAAGACGGAGGAGGCGGAGGAGGCGTGGACTGAGCGAGCAGGACCAAGGAGGGGAAGGGCGCCGAAGGAACCTGGGAGGACCGAGCGGCAGGGGGCAGCGCGGCGAGTCGCGGGCGCGGGGCCCGCGGCCCACGCCCCGCGCGCCCCGCCCCCCGCGTGGCCCGGTGCGCGGCCACGGCGTCGCGGCCGCGGCGCCACTTGTCGGCTCGAGCGGCCCGCCCCCGCAGGCGCACCGCACGCGCACGGCGCGCACGCCGCTGGCCGCGCACGGAGGCGCCGCCGCGTGGCCGCGCCCGCGGATGCGGCGCGGGGCGCAGCGCAGGGCGCGGCGCGGCCCGGGGCGGTGCCGCCTGGCGGCTGCGGCGCTGCGGCTGCCCGCGGCCGCGGGCTCGTTTGGGGAGTGGACGGCCTGGGCGCCCGCGGGCATCAAGGTCATCGGCGGCGCCGACAGGGGGGCGTGAGGGGTGGCCCCCGACGGGCTTCTTCTCTTCGGGGTCATGCGCTGCTCTAGGGACTCCCAGCTCCGGGGTGCCTTCCAGCGGCTGCGCCTTGCCGAGCGCGTCCCGGCGGGTGCTCGAATGGTCCCGGATTAGCAGCCGCAATCTCGAGGTATGACCGAAGGCCAGATTTGGTCAGGGTTCCCGATGGGAGGAAGCGTCCCCAGGGGAGGATCGGGGACCCCGCACGGTGCGGTGACCGTGCGGTGAGTCGGTGGGGATTCGGGGTCACCGCACGGTTTTGGGGCCCGGGTCGTTCTCCGAGGACGTCTCGGGCTATTGGGGCATCTGAGGCCCCAAAACCGTTCGTTGACGGACCGTGCGGTGAGGTCTTGGGGGATTTCGAGGTCACCGCCCGATCTGTCACCGCACCGTTTCGGGAATCCGAAGAGGAAGCATCGGCTCTCCAGTCGCCCGGCCCAGGACCCCCGACCTGCCCATGAGCGGTGGGGTTGCGCCGCCAGGGGCCCATCGCCGATGGATCGGCGAAGCATCGCCGATGATCCAGGTCACTGTTCCTCCTGAGAAAGTTCCCCCCCTGTTTGCCTCTCCTCCTCCTCCTCTCCCCCCTCCTCCCCCTCCCCCTCCCCCTCCTCCCCCTCCTCCTCCTCCTCCTCCTTGAATATGCGCCATATCAACTTTCGGTGGTGCTTGCTGATTGCTTCGATCGGCGCTGGGACCTCCTGGCAGCGCCTCTGGCGACGCCCCTTGGCGCCTTCCGCGCGGACCTCCGACATTGTATGTTACTGTACAGTCGAAATGCTGAACTCCTGGTCGGTTTGGGTTCAGTGGGGGCTCTGGTTTTCGGGCCAGCTGCGGGCCTGGCGCTTTGGCCCTTGAAGGCTGGCGGCCCTCGCAAGGGTGGCGCCCTGCCCAGTGGGCGGGCCACTGGCGGCTCTGTGGGCCAGCTGCGGGCGGGGCGCGCTGGCTTCGAAATGAGGCGAGCTTCGCGATGATGGTGCGCCTCTCAGCGGGCTGGAGGACTCTGCTGGCTCTGTGAGCCAGCTGTGGGAAGGGCACGTTGGGATTTGAAGAATGGTGGCCCTCACGTGGATGGCGCTCCTCCTAGCGGGCTAGAGAGCTGTGCTGTCTCTGTCGGTCGGGCGCTTGGGCTTTCGAAAAGTGGCGACCCATGCCCTTATTGGTGGGTCGGAGGCCCCTTCCGGCTCTATGGGCCAGTTATGGGTTGGGCGCCCTGGCTTTCGAACAGTGGCGACGATCACGAAGATGGCACTCCTCCCAGCGGGCTGGAGGACTCCGATGCCTCTGTGGGCCAACAGTGGGCTGGGCGCTTCGGTTTTTATGGGACGGCGACCCTCCTGGGGATGGCGCTCGTCCGGGTGGGCCCAAAGCTTTTGCCGTTTTCAGTACATTTGGACACCCGAAATGGGCGCTGAAAGAATGGGCACAATGCCCAACAACAAATGTTGTCCCAAACCAACAGCGGCCGTTGTTGGGCAGGCGGCCTTCTGTCTCAAATGGACATAGGCCGCGGCGGCGTGGACAGCGAGTCCTGTTCAAGATGAACAGGAACTGCTGTTGGGCATTGTACCCATTCTTTCCGTACCCGTGTCGGGCGTCCAAAAGTACAGGCCAGCTGTGACCCAGGCGTCTTGGTTCTCGAAAAGTGGTGGCTATCACCCGGCGGGGTGGGGGGCTCTGCCAGTTCTAGGTGTCGGCTGTGGGCCAGGCGTTTTGGCCCACGAGAAGTGGCGACCCCCCACAGGGATGGCCCCCTTCCGGGTGGGCTAGGAGGCGTCTGCAGGCTCTGTTAGGGGGCCACAGGCGAACCCTGCGCCTACCCCCACGATTTCTGAGGGGGAGGGTGGGGTTCACTTCGCTCGGGAGCTCCCGAACGGAGTGAACCCTACCCTCCCCCTCAGAAATCGTGGGGGGCAGGGGTAATTAGGGTTCGCATGTGGCCCCCCTATCTGTGGGCCAGCTGTGAGCCAGGCGCCCTCACCAGGATGGCGCCCTTCCCAGCGGGCGGGAAGCCTCTATGGGCCAGGCGCTCTGGCCTTCGAAGAGCGGCGACCCTCTCAGGGATGGTGTCCCTACAGGTGGGCCGCAGGCCTGATTCGGTATTGTGAGCCAGCCGTTGGCCTGGCGATTTTAAGAAACAACATGGCGTCCCTCCTTGTGGGCCAGCTGTGGGCCGTGCGCTTTGGCTTTTGAGAGAAATGCTGATTGGGGGACGACTTGGGGTAACCCAGGAGGTCTCTAGTTTTCAGGACCCCCCTTTGTTCTGTTCGGGGTGCACTCCGCCCGTCCTCCTGCTGTTGCTGCTGCTGCTTCTCTTCTTCCTCCTCTTCCTCCTCCCCCCGTCCGCCTCTTCCTTTTCCTCCTGTTCCTTCTCCTGTTCCTCTTCGTCCTCCTCGTCCTCCTGCTCCTCGTCGCAGTCCTACGGACGAGGAGGAGGAGAGAAGGAACAGGAGGACGAAGGGGAGGAGGAAGAGGATGAGGGAAGGAAGAGAAGCAGGAGGAGGCCGCTGATGAACAGCTGTTTTGCAGTTCTGGCGGGACCACAGTCCGATGATTCGTCTTCGCGGTGTGGGTGTTCTAGAAATTTGTAGCATGTGATCGGCTGTCGAATTATTCTTATCATATGTGTTCATTCTGCATTATATTATCATGTTTTCCGTATGCACATAGTTTAGTATTTTATTTGTCTTCGTATCATCAGTAGTACCATTATCATTCATATTATTTGTTGAATTAGTCTTAGTATTGTATATACTATTCGTATACATGTTTGTTATTTGTAATATGGTTGTTATTATTATTATTATTATGTATTATTCCACCTTCCCTTTCTTGTTGTTTCCGACTCCTCTTCTGCTTGCGGCCCATTCCCAGGTGAGCGCGCTGTCTGGGCGGAGGCCGCAGCACGCGTGGCTCGGAGGAAGCGTGGGCGCTGCAGCCGACGTGCTGCGCGCCGCGCTGCGGGAGCCGCGGGGCGAGCTCGGGGGGCTCACGGAGGAGGAGGCCCGCCAGGCGCTGCGCTGGGTGCCCCACCCCGTGCGGCCGAGCAGGCAGGAGGTGCTGGCTAAAGGGTTCGAGATCGTGGATTCGAGAAATATGGGGGCCACATGCGAGCCCTACCCCACCCTCCCCCTCAGAACTCGCGTGGGGCAGGGGTCGGGTTCGCATGTGGCCCCCTAAGAAGCAAATGTGGGTTGCCTCTTCGGCCTGGGGGGGCGCCGCTTGCGGGCCCCCTCGGGCGTCAGAAGCAGAGCCGGGGCGAGGAACAGCTGCACCAGATGGACGCCAGACGGGGTCCAGGGACCGGCTTTGAGCGGATTCGGCGGCGGCCCAGGGGCGGGGGTGCTGGGCTCAGTTCGATTCCTCCCACTCGATTCGGTTCGATTTCGGTCGATTCTGGTGCCAGTTCGACTCGGCTTCGGATTCCGATGTGGGTTCCGACTTCTCAGGGCGGCCATGCTCGCCTGCCGATTCCCGCCGATTTGATGTTTCCCGACTTGGCCGCCGAGTTCCGTTCACCCGACTCATTTCGATCGCCGATGCGGCATCGATCCGATCTTGGGCTCTCCTGGGCAGGGTGCAGCTGGTGGCCTACGTGAGCAAGTGGCACCCCAGCTCGGCATCGGTACACCCGTCCCCATCCAGCAGTGGTGGTTCGGCAGCAGACGATGGGAGCCTTATATGGCCTCGAAGTTCCATCTTTCGAGTGCAGCAGCGTGCGCTGGCGGCTGGTAATCGGTACGAAAGCGTCGATTTAGCGTCATTCAGCGTCGATTAGTTTCCAGTGGCGTCGGCAAGCGTAGATTCGCAAGTGCCAGCAAGATGGCATGGGAGGCTCCCATGAACTGCCGCAGATCAGTGGGTCAGGGTTCCTTGTCGCTGCCAACCTGCCGCCCCTTCGCGGCTCCATGTGCGCCTTCGGAACCCGACGGAAGCGACAGCTGTCCCGACTCGGGTTGGCAGGTCGGCCCGTTGGAAAAGCGTGCGCCCCATGGGGATGAGGATTGGTCTAACGACGCTGACCAACCTGGACCTGCTGGCGGCCTCATCCAGAAGACCAGACGGCGGCAGGAGGCGGAGGAGTCGGAGGAGGAGGGGAGGAGGAGGAGGAGGAGGAGGAGGAGGAAGAGGAGGACCGAAGCCATTCTGGCTCAAGTTCCAACCCCGTGTCGCGGGGGCTCGAGCTTGGAGATTTCCCGCCGCCCTGCGACAACCATCGAGGGAGCGCCCGACGCATTCCATACCCGATGAACCTAACACCTTCGGAGAGAAGTTGTTCCTCATCGCTCCAAGCTCGCCCCATGCCGCCGCCGCCCACTGCATTTTAGGTTGTAAATCTAAGCTGTAGTGGAGGAGCGCCTCTCGCGGGCACCGCGGGCCCGCCAGGTGCGAGGGTAATGGGCTGCGAGTCGTCGTCGCAGTCCTTCCTCTTCCTCCTTTTTGTTTTCGTATATACATTTATTCCTCACAGGAAGCATGTCTGACAAGCGCATCATGGGCGATGAGACCGGTACGTTCACATCACCATCGTATCACATGTCTGCCAGAAACCGTTTTCTTTTTGGGTGGTTACAGAAGGCAAACGGCCCGCAGACCCACTGGTGGTAGTCATGGTTTCCGCGGATACTAAACTATATGTGCAATGCGCGGGTGCAGGAAGAGACCTGGTTGTGATTTCGCTGATTTATCATGTCGTGATTTCGCTGGTGGTGCGTTCCCTGGGCCCCAATGTGCTTGAACAAGAACAGCCCTGGACTGTGTGGGAGGCTGGATGTGGCAAAAGACACAGGTTGGCGGAGGAACAGCTGGAGGTAAAGGTGGCGAATATAGGGGGTTTGGCAAGACGGGGAGGAAATGGTGGTCGTGATTGTCGCCCTCCCCGCGTTGGAAAACCCCGTGGTGCCCGCGATGGCTACAATGAGCTCCTAGTGTTTTTCAGATGTCGCGGGGGCCCGAACATCCGTTCAGCCTTGAAGTTGCTAAGGCCCTTGCAGATGCAGAGGGGGTCCCAACTAGAAGCTGGGAAGGCCACCGTTCCCATCAATTCAGTTGCTCGAGGAGGAACTGGGCATCAAGTGGCGCGAACACATAATCCGCACTTTGGAGGATCGCGAGAAGCGCTTGTTCTGCTCATCAGGGGGAAATTCAAAGGCGTTCCTGCGAAGTGGAAACACCTGTTGACAGTGAGATGGGTGATTTTGAGGGGCGCGGAGAGCAACAACGCTGTACACATCGTTGCCCCAGGCCCTCATCATCCCGATCCGCGAGATTTTCTGTTCGCTGGGAGTTTTGGCGCCCAGTATTACCCAATGAGCAAGCTTGGGCGCATGTCCAGACCTACTTTCGACCGGTACCACACCTTGTACTACCAGGGCCCCGGTCTGCACCCGCTTCCGTCGGAGGAGAACGAAGTGCAGCAACAACAGCTGAATCTGCACCTGTTATGGACGCCGGCGGGAGAAACATTTTGTCAGCTTTCTGAGGCCATGGTTGGGGATGACAACACAAAGCGTGTGTACGTTTTTTCCTGAATCTTAAACAAGCCAGGAAGGAACGTTTTCGACGATCCCACCCCATGCGGAGATGGGACCACCCACCACGCGTCGACGACGAAAGCCAAATATGAGTTGCGTGATCCCGTGATTGTGACACGCCGCGGCAGTTTTTGGCATTTCGCAAAAGCAGTACGTCAATAAGACCTCCGCCGTGCGTATCTCTACCCAAGAACGTGCGCTGCCCCCCAGACAGTGAGCAATGCGATGCACGTCGCAGACTGCCATAGCTGGGTGGGAATAGTGTTCGGGGAAAGCCGAGCTTCAGTCAGCAAGACAATGCTTACGGATACTTGTATTCTGGTCCGTAAGTATATTTGTGATTGGGTTTGTGTCGGGGCCCCAGTGCTTCCCACGAGCTTCAGAGCTTGGGTGTATCCCTCTCTGCCATATGCGCATGCAGGGCGGCATCAAACTTAGCGGGGCGAATCTTGCCATAGTCCAACGTGGTTCAACGTCTTGGTCAGCATCTCGCGTCCGCGCTCGTGCCGTACACTCTTGGAGGAGAGACGAATGTGCTGCCAGGAAGGCTGTCGTGGGGGAATGCGCATGGATGCTATGGCAGGGCAGGGAGCTTCGGATTTGACTCGGCTGTTCCTTCCCATGCATATGATGGGTGGAGGAGAAGATAACCGTAACATAGATTACGTTCTGGGTAGTGGACCGCTGGAGGCTGTAGCTCTCTCTAGTGCCGCAGTAGTGGAAGTGTTGGGCTCTCTGCTTCCCGGGCCGCATGGACCAGTTTCCTCTCGGCATGCTCGGCCTGCTCGTGACCTGTTCGCCCAGGTTTGCGTTCGACAAGCGACTGTTCCGACGTCGCCAGGGATCGGTGCGATTCTCGATCCACCCGACAACACGCGTCTGATCAATCTGCTTGATTCCCTCATAGGCCAGCAAGTCCACGTCGACAGGATCCGCGGTATTGTCGGGCAGTCTAGACAGCGAGAGCAGCGGCGGCTCGATGCCATGCGCGACGGCTGGGCTACCAAGGCGCTGGATGAGCTCCAGCAGGTCCTCCGCGCCACTCGCCATCTCGATGCGTCACCTGGATGAGGGGCCCAGTTCAGACCGCCGGAAAGCCCGTTGGGCTCTCCTGGGCGACCGGGCCGCGTGAGAGGCTCCGGCCAGGGGCCGGTCTCCATTGGATGCGCTCCAGATTGCAGGAGTTGAGACACGTCCGACACCGGGCGTCATCCACGCGTGAAGAATACGAGTACCACTGGGGGCTTCAGTAGAACGCAGAGCGTCTGACTTTTTTTGGGGTGGCACTCCGTGGGCATCATGGCTCGGCTGTTTCTGCGTGGCTGTTTCTGCTTTATTTGCAGATCACAAGGCTTGTGAAGCAGGCTTCGCGGCACGGCGCTCGGTTGCATGATGGCGCTCCGGCGTCGCGTGAATTTTTGGCGCTTGCAGAGCGCCATGCATTTCGCACGTCGGAGAAGAAACGGGCAGAAGACTGGGCCGCTCGATGCGAAGGAGCAGTGGGCAACGGATGAGGACGAGCTCATCGACGCGCGAGGTTTCGCCCCGCCGACCTCGATGATGTCCGCGCGGGGGTCGACGGCGGCACCGCGGTGATTTGCTGGAATTTTGGAGCAGCAGCTGCAATAATCATGGGGGCATGATTTGGGGGCTAGATCTCATGCCAGTCCCTCTCTTGAAGCTGTTGGAGGGGCCCCCTGCTGCTGGATGGGGCCCTCTGCAGAGTTCAGATGCGCGCGATCGCATTGGGCAGCGCGCGCCCAAGACGTGTTTCCTCGGTGCGTGAACCAGCTCCCATGGCACGATCTGGGGCGTTCACAGTCACGGGCAATATGGGGAATCCACAATGCAGTTTCCAACGAGTTTCTTGTCGGAAGTTCGAGTCGGGCAGGCGACCCGTTCGCGCCCTCGCCAGCGCGGCCAGATTGCGCGGCAAAGCGAGCTCGCAGGGACGCAGGCAATGGGGCAGCGCGGGGGTTTCTCGCGCACGTTGCAGCATGGCATCTGGGCGAGGCCCACTCGACGCAGCGAGGTGCCAGGCAGTTCGAGGAGCGGCTCTATCGCGAGGCGGCTACGGCATCCTTTTCAAGGTCGCGCCTCCTCCAGCAAATCCATGGGCCGTTTGGCATCGCGCGCGCGGCTGCGCCGCGCAGCGCTGGATGGGCCCATCTCGGGCCCGATTTTCGCGGCGGCAGGTGCCGTCGCAGGTGCAGGGGCGGCCGCGAGCGAGGCAGGCTTGTGCGTTGCGCCAGCTGCCACAGAGTGGATTCTCCAAACAAACGCGTCTGGGGCTCGCCGCGCTTCAGGTGCGCGTCGGTGACCTTGGGCTAGACGTTGCGGCGCAGTGTGTGCGCGCAAGTGTTCAGGCTGCGCATGGGATCGCAGCGAGCCAGGCGCAGCTGTCGAATGATGTCGCGGGAGTTCCGCTGGCAGAGAGAAGAGGCTATGCCTCGCTGGCGCGCGACGCGAAATCATGTAGGTCGGCCGAGCTGTACTTGGATTTGTCGCAGGTAGGT